TTACAAACATTTCTTTCAAGTCAAGGAAGAAATGAACACATGAGAAGTTATTAAACTTTAAAAGGCACGATCTGAGCTAACTCTGTTTTTCCACAAGCCAATGGTAAAAAGCGAAGCCTTGGAAGTAGACGGAATCATCAACTGGGACCCTTCAGAGTCTGAAGGCTCCGTCTCCCTCCGTCCCTTTCTCCATTAAGGCGTTCTGTCCATTCCTGACCACGAAAACGCTAAATGCAAAAATCACTACCATCTGAACATTTCTGCTGTTCTCAAATTTGAGACTAGTTCCCATAAATTAACAAAAATGTTATAGTTTGAAAAGTCCTTTGGTCAGCTCAGGTGACACATTAAAAAAATAATTCTTGATCTGTTCACAATACCACCTTTCAACGCAGGCCCGACAATCTCCGCCATTCCTTTGTACTCACAGGCTCCCTGCCTAGAACGGTCCCCTCCCCAGCCACGACAGTTATCGCTACCCTACCACTTCCTCAAGACCTACCTCAAAATATACCTGCTCTGTGAAGCTGTTCTTCTTCTGAACTTCAGACACATTCTGATTTCTGTACAGCTCACTAGGTTAGCACGTGCTATTTTTATGCTGACGTTCTTTTAATCTATTCTGACTTTCCAATTACAGTTTACAATGAACTGGAAGATATACCTTCCATCTCCAATGCAGCTGACTGGAGATACACATTGAATCGTTCATCCAAGAAGCACAATAGATATTTTTCTTCTATACAAAAGCCTGGAATAGTATTATTGGTTTGGACTTGATGGACTATGGTGAGCCTTGAATGGCTGCCTAAGAAGTATGGGTGTTATCCTGCAGGGATGGAGAACTGAGAGTCCTTGAGTTCAAAAATGATGCGAGGAAAAACAAAGTGTTTCAGAAAATGCAGTCCTTGGGCCCCAGCTGCTAGTGGGAGGTGGGGGAACGTGCGGCAGGAAGGCAGTGGGCTCAGCACACGGGGCTAAGTAAGGGCTTTAAAGTCAGGAAGCACTGGGTTCTCCAACCCTTCTAGCTCTGTGACTGAGTAAGTTATCTGTCTTCTAAAAAGCTTCATTTTCTTTATCTTATAACAAGGATGATAAAAATAGAACCTACCTATCTAGCTGTGCTGAGTACTACATTAAAGAAAACCTCAATTCCTGACAAAGGGTAAGCATAGTGCATTCTGACACCAATTCTCTGACACCAACTGGGTGTCCTACAATTCAGTTCTGACAGTCACTACGTGCATTAGCATCAGATCTCACAAATTAAAGCACAATGTACCAAACAAGTCTGCCCTTGCTTCAGACCTCCACAAGCTATCAGAATTTCTACCCAACTTAGCTACAAATTCAGCATTCCAGCAACCCTCCTTCAAGTATGATAATGTGCTAGAATGACTCACATGACTCACTGAACATGCTATACATCAATGATAGTTTTATTACGAAGGACACAACTCAAGAACAGCCAAGTGGAAGGTGTGTGGAGCCAGGTCTAGGAGGAGAAGACGAGGGGACTCTGAGCTTCCATGCCCTCTCCAAGAAATTCAGGTGTCACCCTCCCAGCAGACCCGTAAGTTGACCAACCTGAAACTCCGCTGTCCTAGAGCTTACATAGGGCTTTTATTACAGAGGCGCGATTAATTAAATCACGTGAGCGAACTCAGTCTCCAGTCCTTCTCCCTGCCCAGAGATAAGGGGGCAGTCAAATTCCGACCCTCTCTTTCTGGTGTGCCTAGCCCCCAGCCTGGAACTCCCGTGGAGCCCACCCTGAGTCACTCTAGTAGTGTAAACTCAGGTATGGTTTAAAAGGGCTCGCTCTGAATAACAAAGGACACTCCTCCCACCCAGGAAAGTCCAAGGGTTTTTGAAGCTGTGTATCTGGAGACAGGGTCAATGACCAGATACAATTTTTATTATATCACATACACAATAAATGAAAGCTGTCATTTTAGAAAACGAGGAGTGAGCTATTAAAGTAACGCAAGCATAAAGACGAGGAGAGAAAATCATCAAAAGCATCACAAAAGAAGAAGCAGTGGAAAAAGAAGGAAGAGTGGTCATATTGAGTATGAAGGTTCAAGTCCAAATAATTAAATAGGTGGAAACAGACACATCCAAGCAGAAAAAAAAAATGGGACTGAGGATGAACTTGGTGCGAGCCCAGCTAGACAAGAGGCAAAGACCGGGGATTGTGAAGAGACACTGGACAGAACATAAATCTAGAGGTGGGAGAGGTCATGGCCAGAATCAGGTGTCAGGGTTACCCACACAGTTAAGACACCCGAGGCCCCCATGAAAGCCCTCACTGCTCAAAGGGTACAAGCTAACGGTGTCACATAGTTAAGTAAGAACAAGGTACTGTATACAGCATCAAATGTAAGAGCTGAACTCTAGAACACATTCCCTTTAATATTTGGGAATCTAAACTAAACCTTATTTTTAACGTCAATGTTCAAAAAGAATCACATGACCAAATGCCAAACAGAAATGCCAGATTTTGTTCTTTGACAGAAACGTATCATTTTCTTTATCAATAGGAAACTTACAATGCATCTCTGTAATATCTCTTTAACTTGTTTATTTTTCAAAGACAAGTTTATGAAACAACCATAGAACATTTTAACAACACAACAACATAAACAGAACTGTGTATGATCAATTCACGGAAGCTTCCTGCTCAGTTTATGAAACAGGATAAACACCTGAGGCATAGAAACCATCACAAGGACTTACTCAAAGCTTTCAGGAAGTATATTCAATAACTAGAAACTGCCTTGTTAATTGTCCATGGTTCAGAAGCATCACAATTTGGTTTTCCCCTCAAGGCACACATCGTCTCATCCTTTTGTTGCTAGATTCCCAGAAAGCCAGTCCCAACTCTTCTTTTAGCCAGTGAAGGTGACAAATGGGAGAAGAAAGGGAAAGCAGAGTATGGGGGACAGCATACTGGGCTGGTCAGATGGTTCACAGTGTAAAAGGCTGTAACGGACCCACGGAACTGACTGAGACATTCAAGTACTGTCGGGATTAATTAACAGGCTTATTCACTCAGGAAGCCAGGAGGATGCTAAGGGTCAAATGCTTGGGACCCGAAGGCCGGAAGAGTGCAGTGAGAGCCCTATGTATGCCATCCATCCATCAGCCTCCCCATTCCTGTCTCCCTCCCCTTCCCCATCGCTCCAGGGGGAGCAGGAGCCAGGTCCCTGGAGCAGCAGCTCTGCCCCCCCCCCCCCCCCCGCAATACCCCTAGCCAGAACAGGACAGTGAAGGCAAAACCTGAGCCCACAGGCCACTCTCCAGAAGAAAGAGAGTAAGGGGCGGGACCCCTCCCACACTCCACAACACCTGGAGCATTCAAGTTCCAAAAATGGCTTACAGGAGCTCAAAGGCTTTCCCTGAAGAAAGCAGGCATGATTCTAATTTACTCGGATTCTAAAGCCAAATTACAAGAACCATCTTATTTTCCCTAAGACTTTAAAGTATGTCTGTATTCGGCAAACTGCTGCTTTTGTTTATAGTAGTACTTACTTTTGTTTTATCAGTTATAACCATAGATTATCTACCTATGTATAAACCCCTTGTGTTTACAAAGTAGACATTTTCCACTGGGGCTTATTTTCGTTATCCTATACTGATAGCAGCTGAGGGCACCCCGGATTGGACTATCCCCCAACTTGCTCCAATTAATACACACCCCTCAGAAGGCCAGGGTCTGCCCAGATCACTGCTAATTCCCCAGAAACTTAAATTCTCTCAGCCTCTGAGGATTCCCTCTTCTAACTCAACCAATTCACCAATTCTACCATGCTCTCTGTCTGTAATGGGGTGCACAGTGGGGGGGTCCCCACAGTGGGGGGTCTGAAACTATCAGACCCCAGAACCCGTGACTGGGGGAAGTGGATGACAAAGCAATTAAGATACTTTGCATAACAATGGCAAGTTAATAGCCATGCCTTTCCTGAAGGAAGAGGACTGCCACCCAGGGCTAAAGGTGTACGTGACTTGAAGAGAGTACACTGACTGGTGGCCTAGACGGGGAAGCAGATGCCCACCCTGAATGTCCGAGAGTCACTGGGAACTTCTGCCCCAATTAAAAATGGCAGCCAAAAGAAAGCAAAAGATACAAGTGAACTGGCAAAAATGGCAGACACTAACACACCATTCGAGAGGATGGGGTCACATAGGAAGTTCCCAGCCAAGCTTTTAAAGGAGGACAGACTGAAAGAGAAGGGGGTCTGCCAGGAGGTCTGGAGTGAGGAAGAGGAGGCCCTCGGGGAAGCCTGCCTGGAGAAGCCAGGGGCAGAGCTGGCAGAGCTGCATGGCGACCCGCCAAGCCAAGCAGGGATCGGTGAGGGATGTCGGACGCTGAACTGGGACCGGGAATGCTGAGCTGCAGACTTCTGCTTTCCTGAAAGACGTACCTCTGACATACATTCTAGACCTGGCCTGGTTTTGCAAAGAGAGGCAGGATTATGTGCTTTGGGGTGTTTTAAAGGGAGTGGGGCTTGATGACAGAAATCTGCCATTATTCCAAACCTGTATAACCTTTAAATAAATGATCCCTTTTGTTTTTCACCAAACTCTTGCATTAGAGGTCACGCTTCTTGGTGACAGGCGATAGAACCCCACAGCTGTTCCAGAACAGCACTGGTGAGGTTCTGTAACATGTCCACTCTCAACCTCAAGCCCCCCCAAAACACCCTTAAGTAAAGACATTTGTAAATACTTGGGGTGAGAGAGAACAATCAATTTAAATAAGATCCTTGAGCCATTTTTCCTGCCCTTCTCCCTTCTTCAATCACCCCACATCCCTACTCACCTAAAAATTGTCCTGGAAACTCCCACTGCTTACCCCTAGGTTAAGCAAAAACCAGCCCTTTCCAGGTCATACTCCCTGGTGAGCATGCCCACAACTACCAAGGTGCTCAGCTCTGAAGCCTTGCATCTAACAGGACCCACTCTCCAAAATGTTTAAGGCAAAAAGACAATTCTGTTACCCTGTGGAGTCGCACGTCCAGCCCTGATGCTTCTTCCTCATACAAAGGCAGGCAGGGCAGGGTCTTCTCCATCGATCACCATGCGTGGAGCTGAACGGGCAGGCTGCTGTTCTCACTAACCGCTCGGCAGATCTAACTGCATTTCCCTTTCTCAGAACGGCAAGGTCACTTGCAGGTTAAAAATGTTCTCCCCTCCAAAGGCAACTATCCAGTTACCTCCATCGCTTCTTTCTGGTTATTGCCAGGGAAACTTTGCATCCTATCAACCAAGTAAAAAGTTTCTTTTTTTTCTCTCACAGATTAAGATATTAAGTCTCAGAAAGATAAAATGAGTTGCTCACAACAACAACTACAACAGACAGAGTTCTTACCAAGTATGCGGTACAGTGAGGAGCGCGCTGTGTGCGATGTCCTTTCTGGCCCCCACCACAACCGCAGCGGAGGCGCAGCACTGCGACCCCTTCCCACCGCGGGCAGCCAGACTCCGGTTAAAAAAAAAGATTCCCTGCTCCAAATCAAGTGCTGCACTGGGATTCAAGCCCATCAAGCTAAGTTCAAGTTCTTAAAGGGTAATTTAAACAAAAAGACAACACTGAGTCTACCATACAAATATAAAATGAACACCTACCTATGAACTCACTAATTAATTATAAAACGAACAAGATGTTCCATCACATTCAAAAGTTAAAGGGCACAAACATAGAAGCGACGGGGAATGACGACACCGGTTTGCTTCGCAGATCCAAAACGAGCTTCTTCCACAAAGGAGGAAAAGGAATCAACTGTACCTGCAACCAACAAAATTCATTTACGTGCCTAAGGACAGGAATTGTTTGCAATGCTGTCAGTTATTCACAATTGATATAGTTGTAACAGAAAACTTAGAAATAGTAAAAGCTGCAGACTAATGATTAGATCTTCAGGAAAAGCACTCCGGACACCACCCAGTAATCCTTTTGCACACTTCACAGATTTTCACATATTCCCCTTATATTGCTCTTCGTCACTATGAACAACACCTTTTTCTTCGTTTAGAAAAGAATCCAAGGCTTCAAGATCTCTGACAATCACTAGAAAAATAGTTAGTCTCGTACGTAAAACTAATCTTTCACTAAGATAAATTTTTCTCTTATCACATACTAAGCCAGAAATTTAAGCTTACTATGAATTTATAAATAAATGCAGATATGAATTAATTCATTGGATAGTGAAATTTCCGAAGAGTCTTAAAACAAATAAGCATTTGGTTTTACAGTATAACAACAGAATTACTCTCTGGAGAAATAAAGACATAGTTAAATGGTCACTTACAAGTAACAGACCCCAAAATTAACTTCATTAGTGTCTTAATGGCCAATTTATGCATCTTAATTTCCAGTTTTCTTCCATAAGAACGTGTAAAGAACTAGTGAAGGAAAACCGCATTTAAAGTGACCAAAAGTGGGAGCTCTCACGCCCTACTCTACAGTAAAGAACAGGAAGACCTCTTCGTAACAGCCCTCCCAAGTTCCCCCCCCCGCCCCCACCCCCAGAAAGGATTTCCTCCACTTTAGCACCCCTGCAAGTGGCCCACCATAACTGCATATTCCAGATGGTAACTCTCCGTTGTTCCCAAATAAACCCATTTTGCTGAAGAAACATATGGCTGTCTGTTTAAGGTTCACAGAGAGTAACCCCAGTCTAATTTACACCTCCAGTAAAATCAAGTAAATGTACTTTCCCCCACGGCTCTGCCTCAGTGCAACCCGCGACCTTGAACATTACACACAAAAAACAAACAAATGACTCTGAAGCTGGAGAGAAGGCAAACTGGCTAGGGGTCTTGGGAACCACACAATGACACAATGGTGAGTTCCCTGGCTTTTCCTTGGGCATCAAATACCACATGGACACAGAGCTCAAGAAGCCAGTCATGCAGAAATGCCAAAAGGGGGTGATTTAAAAAAGTCCCTGCTCTGTCAAAGAACCAAGAAAAGAGGGGAATAGCGAAACAGAAAACATTTATATAATAACCACTGCACTTCTGAGAAATACACACACACACACACACACACACACACAGAGCAAGAATTGTGGTCCGCCCCTACTGTGACAGCAAAGGCCAAGTAGGGGTGCTAAACTTTCATTCTCACCAGGCTGTAAAGCCTGGTGCCCTCATTGTGCCCCACATGACCCACCGGAACCCCCCATCCCTGCAGGGGCAATATCAAAGGCCAGACCTTCCCTGCCAGGTGGTAGGTAGTAAGACCCACTTCCCCTGCCACCAAGTGTCTATGGAGACCACCTGGAGAGCCTGGACCTCATGCCTAGTAATGCGTGTAAAGTACTGAGGTGCCCCCCTCTAAGCCTCATGGGGATGGCATGAGACAAGGCCGAGCAGAGTACGGACTTTCACGACCTCCCGAGGTTAGGAAGGCCAGCAGAGGCCACGTGGAGGGCAGTAAGACAGCAAGGCGGCACCGGGGGAGGGCTAGAAAGAAGTTGAAACTCCCACCCCTGCCTAGCAGCACTTCCTGTGTCAACGGACCAATTCCTTGAAAACTCACAACTTACTCAAAATGAAAATAGATCATCTGAATAGCCCTGTAACAATTAAGGAAATTGAACTTGTAATTAAAAACTTCCTAGAAAAGATATCGCCTGGCCCACACTGTTTCATTAGAGAATTCTACCGTTTAAAGATTAATGCTATGTCTTCCAGAAAACACAGTAATACAGAAACTCCATTCACTTTATGAAGCTCACATTACCCTGGCAAAACCTAGAAAAAGAGGGTCCCAAAAATGAAACTACAGACCAATACACGGATAGAGACATCAAACTCCTTAACATAACAGCCAACGTAACTCAGCGTATACCAAAAGCTGAAGTTAATCCAGGGATGCAAGTTTATCTCAATGTTCATGAATCCATTACTATAATCCACAATATTAACAAACTGAAAAAATATTTATATGCGCATTATGCATCTATACAGAAAAACTATCTGGTAAAATTTAGTGTCTGTTCCTGAGAAAAAAATCTGAGGAAAAAAAGAAAAATGGGAATAAAGGGGAACTTCCTCCATCAGATAAAGAGTATCTACAAAATCGCCCAGAGTGAACGTTACCGCGCTCAGTGACACGAGACGAAACGTGTGACGCACGACCTGTCATCAGGCGCAGACAAGGGTGCCCACTCCCACCATTCGTGCCTTACTCAGCAGAGTACTGGAAGTTCTAGCAGTGCAAAAAGGCGAGTAAAGGAAACAAAAGCCCTGTAAAAAGAAATAAAACTGTTCCTATTTGCAGATGGCATACTATTTATATACAAAATCCCAAGAATTTTACCCCCACAATCCCCTAGAACTAGTGAGTTCAGCAAAGTTGCAGACACAAGATAACATTTTAAAAAAAGAAAGCACCTCCACATGAAGTGAAAAGACATCTTACAGAATAGGAGAAAGCTTCTGCAAATCATATATATGATAAGGCATTTGTATCTACAATATATAAAGAACTTCTACAACTAAGTAATAAGATGTACAAATGGCCAACAGATGTATGAAAAGATGCTCCAATTCACTGGCTATTAGAGAAATGCAAACCAAACTACAGTGAGATTCCACCTCACGCCTGTTAGAATGGCCATCATCAACAAGACAGGCAATAAGTATGGGAGAGGTTGTGGAGAAAAAGGAACCCTCATTCACGGCTGGTGGGAATGCAAAATACTACAACCACTAGGAAAAAGAGTATAGAGGCGCCTCAAAAAATTAAGAGTGACCATATGACCCAGCAACACCTCCCCTGGATATCTACCCAAAAACTTTGAAAACACTTATTCACAAAAATATATGCACCCCCATGTTCACTGCAGCATTATCCACAGCGCCAGAGACACACGAAAACAACCAAAGCGCCCTTCAGTAGTGGATAATGAAGAGGTGGTGCATATACACGAGGGAATACTACTCAGCCATAAGATTAAATAATGCCATGTGCAACAACGCGGATGGAACTTGAGAATATCATGCTAAGAGAAATGAGTCAGACAGGAAAAGTTAAGAACCATATTGTAGTGGCCTGCCCAGGAGGGGAGCTAGCTGGTGAGTCAACAGGATCAGGGAGAGCAAGTAACTAAGTAACTGAGGAGTAAGAACAAAGAAATTCCTATTAACTCCTATCAGCAGCTCCGCTTTCTTGCTTCTGTAAGCTGCTTCCTGCTTTCTCACCAGAAGTAAGGGTCCGAGTGACAGACTGCCCCCCTCACCCTATATAAGCCATTACTCCCCACTGATTGGGGCCCAGAATTTGGAGACTTACTCCTCTGGGTCTGCGCTTGAAAATAAACTTCCACTCCGTACACCCAAAAGCGGCTGAGTTGTTTTCTGTAACAATATGACTTCAATCACTGATGGGATATAAAACTAAAAGCAACACATGAACAAAAAGAAGAACAAACACTCATAAACACAGAGAGCAGTACGGTGGTTATCCGAGGGAAGTGGGGTGAAGGTCGTAAAGGGGTCAAAGACACAGTGATGGAGGATTTGATGTTGGGTGGTAGGCATACAATGCACAACTTACAGATGATATACCTTAGAACTGTACACTTGAAACCTATGTAATCTTATTAGCCACTGTCACTCCAACAAATTGAATACATAAAACAAGGAAAAAAAAGGCAAATAACCCAGTTAAAAGATGGGCAAGGGATCTGAATAGAATTCTCCAAAGAAAATAAACAAACGCCTAATAAGCACAGAAAAAGATGCTTAACATTATTTGCCATCAGAGAAATACAAATCAAACACCAGAGTGAAATACAATCTCACACCCAACAGGACGTTATGATATTGGGCTGGCCAAGGAGCCAGCTTAGTTTCTGCAGTGCCATGGCTTCAGCAGTGCTTACCTGTCTTTAACTTCATTGGAAACAATTTTGTTAGACTGTATTGTAACAGCTGTCATATCAGTGTTCATTCTTAAAAAACATCGAAATTGGTGAATATTTGTGCAGCCATTTTAATACTGAAGATGGAAGAAAATAAGCAACATTTTTTGGCATATTATGCTTTATTATTTCAAGAAAGGTAAGAACACAACTGAGATGCAAAAGAAGATTTGTACAGTGTTTGAAGAAGGTGCTGTGACTGATTAAATGTGTCCAAAGTGGTTTGCCAAGTTTCTTTGTACTATTGACGTTTTAGTCAAATAACTCTTTGCTGTGGGGCTGTCCTATGCATTGGGAGATGTTTAGCAGCACCC